TAATCTAGTAATTTTATATTTAAAATAATGTGATTACCGTTCATGTTTTAGTAACACATTTGAAATCTATCTAATAATAGTACATTTTGAGTACATTTTAATAGGAATATTTTAAAATAGTGAAAATCGTAATGATGTCGTTAGGTCAATAAATTTATGATGACATTTATTAGTGAATATTATTACAAAGATGAATGTGATTAAAGCTCATAGAGAAGTAACCAAAATTGAGAAAATTAACTTATTTAGGAATAAAATAATGACATTAGAAAACAAGTTGAAACCATCATCGTTGAAATGATTCATGTGATAAAAGGTCATATAGTAAGTGTAAAAAGAAATGCGAATATTAGCTGTTTCATGAATACAAAAAACAAGAATTTCATATTCTTGTTTTATATTAAAAGTTCCTGAAACCAGAACTATGCGTACGTAAGAAGTACGTCTGATCGTAAACTAAGCCTCCATTGTTATTCATAACTACTGATTATATCACCGTATTCATTTGCACACCTCTTTAACTATTAATTACTGGTACAATCACATTGTACTAGTTAAAAATTCCCTTAAAATATTCAAAAATATAAAATAATTTAGCAAACAATCGTTTTCATTAACTTCATCATCACACTATACAGTTGTTAGTCCATAATTTTAATATTTTATAAAGTCCAAAAATAAGGCATGGCATTAATGAACTTGACAATGTAATGTGTTAACAATGGTTAACGTTTACATCTGTAACGATATATATGTTTACAAATTAAAAAGGTCATTCACTAAAGATCGGGATGATTTGCAGTAAACTGTTCAGTCACAATAAGTGACTAAGTATTATAGGAAAATTGAAAATGCAAAAAAATTGGTGTCAATGAAATACACAGTAGGAGAATTGAATCTTGTCAATTGACATAATAATAATAATAATAATAATAATAATAAGGAAATTAAATAATAATAACATTGTAAATGTTCATTGATACAGTTGACCTTATTCATATTTATACGTTTAAAGTCGATAGATATTTGTTGAGTCAGTCAGACGACGTAGGCTTGTTCATTTACACTTCATGAAACTGATATTTCAAATGCTTGTCAAAAATGGTTACATTCATAATGTCTAGATAATTCAGGTTTCATATTACGGCGGTTAACAATATTCACACATGACTGATTAAACACACACTAGTTTTTATTACAACCAAAAAATTAATTTTAAAATACAGAACTACAAATAATTTACAAGTGAAAATAATGAACCGTGTTTCAATGGATTTCCAAATTAACCGCATTGAAATCTAACGTTGTCTAATTCTCATTATGAATGACCATTTACAAAATAATCGTTTACTAAATATTAAGTGTCTATTTCGGAAAATTTATTACTACTTTCATATACTGTCTAAGTCAGTTCATTAAATGATGGTCTATGATTGCTTCACCTGAATTATACATATTGCAACCAGTAAGTTATCATAATGATTTATTGATATGTTGATTTCTTTTTCCCATTAACACACCATGTGTTACAAAAAAACCTGTGCACACACTTTGGTGATAATTTGTTTATTAATTTTGTATTAAATATTTGACTACTGACCTCATTCAGTAATCCTTATTATCAAATATTCAAACCGGTTTTCGGTGGCTTTTTCCCAAAAACTTTCTTTTACTGAGATACATATAATTATTCGTGTTCAGATAATTAACGACTTCAATTCAAGGTATACTTGATCGGAAAACAAAAATTGATCCCAATACACATTCACTAACAGTAGGACTGCACGGTAATGCAATTAAGTTGGTGTCTTTTTCTTCAAAAGTCTAAATTTTTTTCAAGACTAAGATTACACAAAAAGGATTATTCATTATCATTAAATTTCAAATGTCAAAAATGAAAATTCTGACATCCAATCACAGCTCCACATGCGATTTCGATTTCAACTAATCAGATTACAAAGATGAACCGTTTACGACCAATCAAAAAATTATTAAAGATAACACAATGTTTGTTCATTATCACTTGAGCACACACTTGCAAAACAAGTCCACCAATCAACGATACCTAAATTTTTCATTCACACCCCACAATTTTTTTAAAAGGGGTGGTAGGGAATCATATAGGCCGGTCACTTAATGTCAACCCTGAAAGTAATTTGAAAGTGTTGTGTTCAATGAGTTTTATGATTTAGTGTTGTGAACGGGGAAACTACGAGAGCTATTTTCTTGGGACGTTATTTCATTTCATTCAAACCTTGTAAAACACTTATATTTATTTCTGTTTCTATTTTATTCTACATAACATGAGCTTTCATTCTATGTAACATTCACTGCCGGTTGACATTTTGCCCACGGCAATTAAGAATCCCTACCACCCATTTCTAAAAAAATGTATGGTGTCAAAGAAAAATTTAGCGATCGTTGATTGGTGGACTTGTTTTGCAAGTGTGTGCTCAATTGATAATGAACAAACATTTTGTCACCTTTAATAATGTTGCAATTGGTCGTAAACTGTTCATCTTTGTAATCTGATTAGTTGAAATTGAAATCGTATCTCGAGTTGTGATTGGATGTCAGAATTTTGATTTTTACATTTGAAATTTAACGATAATGAATAAATCTTTTTGTGTAATGTAAGTCTTGTAAGAAATTTAAACATTTATAGAAAAAAAACACCAACTTCAGTGCAATCCTACTGTTAGTGAATGTGTATAGTGAGATAAATTTTTGATTTCCGATCAACAATTTTAATGTAACGAGTACTTATATATATCACATAAAAAGAAAGTTTTTGGAAAAAAACAACTGAAAACCGGTTTGAATATTTCATCATAGTGATTACTGAGTAAGGTCGGTAGTCAAATCTTTCATAGCAAATTAATAAACAAATTATCACTAAAGTGTATGCATAGGTTTTTTGGTAACACATGGTCTTTTAGTTCGAGAAACAAATGAACATATTAATAAATCATCATGATAACTTACTAGTTGCAATATTTATGATTCAGGTGAAGCAACCGTAGACCATCATTGAATGAACTGACTTTGACAGTATATGAATGTAGTAATAAATTTAACTGAAATAGGCACTTAATATTTAGTGAACGTTTTCTTTGTAAATGTTCATTCTTAATGAGAATTAGAAAACGTTAGATTTCAATGTGGTTAATTTTAAAAGTCCATTGAAACGGTTTATTGTGTTCACTTGTAAATTATTTGTAGTTCTGTATTTTAAAATTAATTTTTTGGTCGTAATAAAAACTAGTGTGTTTAATCAGTCATGTGTGAATATTGTTAACCGCCGTAATATGAAACCTGAACTATATCTAGACATTATGAATGTAACCATTTTTTTGATATAATAATTAAAGGTCATAGAGGTGTACAAAAATAAACTGATATGATGAGCGTTTATTAATAAAACAATGAGAATATAAGGCATAAGTAAAGGGGGAATGCAGTAATAATAATAATAATAATAATAATAATAATAATAACATTAATAGTAGGATAATCAAACTAATTAAGGCCAAAAGAAGTACGTATTATCGTTATCGTTACCTTGGCCTTAATTAGTTTGATTATCCTACTATTAATGTTATTAATATTATTATTATTATTATTATTATTATTATTATTATTATTATTACTGCATTCCCCCTTTACTTATGCCTTATATTCTCATTGTTTTATTAATGAACGCTCATCATATCAGTTTATTTTTGTACACCTCTATGACCTTTAATTATTATATCAAAAAAACATTTTAATCATTTTAATCATCTTATTGTAACCAGTTTTGACAAGAATTTGAAATATCAGTTTCATGAAGTGTAAATGAACAAGCCTACGTCGTCCGACTGACTCAACAAATATCTATCGACATTAAACGTATCAATATGAATAAGGTCAACTGTATCAATGAACATTTACAATGTCATTATTATCTATTTTCCTTATTATTATTATTACTATTATTATTATTATTATTATTATTATTATTATTATTATTATGTCAATTGACAAGACTCAATTCTCATACTATGCATTTTATTGACACAAAATTCTTTGCATTTTAAAATTTCCTATAATGCTCTTCCACTTATTGTGACTGAACACTGTACTGCAAATAATCCAGACCTTTATTGAATGACCTTTCTAATTTGCAAATGTTACAATTTGTAATTCATATATATATTAACAGATGTAAACGTTCACCACTGTTAACGCATTACATTGTCGAATTCATTAATGCCATGACATATTTTTGGCCTTTCTAGAATATGGAAATTATGGACTTATAACTGTATAGTGTGACTGTACCAGTAATTAATAGTTATATGGGTGTGCAAATGAATACGTTGATATAATCAGTGGTTATGAATAACAATGAAGGCTTAGTTGACGATCGGACTTAATTCATACGTACGCTTAGTTCTGGTTTCAGGTACTATTAAAATAAAACTGGAATATGAAATTCTTGCATTTTGTATTCATGAAACGGATAATATTCTCATTTCTTTTAACACTTACTATATGACCTTTTAATCGGATTACTAATTTCAGTGATGACGGCTTCAACTTGTTTTATAATGTCAGTATCTTATTCATAAGGAAGATATTTTTCTCAATTTTGTTTACTTCTCTATGAGCTTTAATCACATTCATCTTTGTAACTATTTTATTATATTCACTAATAAATTTATTCACCTAACGACAAAATAACGATTTTCACTATTTAAAATATTCCTATTAAAATGTACTAGTAATAGATAGTTTACAAATATGTTACTAAGACATGAACGGTAATCACATTATTTTACATCTAAAATTATTAGATAAGTGTTCATAAAATGACAAAATCTTGTCTGCTTTCTTAACCTTTATATGTATTATACATTAGAAACAAGTTTACGAATACATGAGCGATAATCGCTTATCGATTATTAATATCTAAGGTATATCGAAATGCATTCGACATTAAAAAGTGCTTAATCACTTGACCTTTGCCAAAGACAAAAACAATATTGGGAAAAATGCCTTTAAATCAATTTGTGGGTGGCCCTGAAAAGGGCCTTTAATCGTTCTCGCGGTGAGACGTCCAAACTATTAGTTGGTAATGGCGCCACACATCGGACAGTGTACTGCTCGTACGTTCGGTGATGGGTCATAAGCACAGAATCTATGAAACATAGCTTCACAAGGACAGAAAACCCAACCCACTTCATCACCAGTTTCATAGGGCGGCTGTGCAAGATTACAGATGTCACACAAACGGTTCTCTTCATCTTCTTCATTTTGGATGTCCCGTTCTGTTAACTCTTCTGAGTTTATAGAAACTACGTCATCCTCGTCGTTACTTAACGTTTCATCCAAATCGACATTTCCTCGATGCATCAACGGCGTTGTAAAGTTAGTCGACATGCTTGTTCCACTGTACAACTGCGGTTCAGCCTGTAAGTTCAACGGCGTTGGTGGTAGTCTACCGTGAAGTTCTTGATAAAACTGGCTATAAAGTGAACTGCATTGTTCCTCAGACAGTCGCCTGATTAACGCAATCACTGTATTCTTCATGCTCGGCTGGCTCAATTGCATTGGGAAATAATTCTCAACTGCAATACGAGTCAGATAAGTATCAGAGTGTAACCACCTATCACAAATTGACTGTAAGTTCACATCAGTCATACTGTGTGTACAGTAAGCCAATATGTGCCGACATGGCAAACCGTTTTCAATGGAAAATGTACAGGAGCAGCGCATGGAATCACGGTGTACATTGTAAGTCCCTGTTGCGTCCACAGCCGTGAATAAGTCAGCAGACATTACAAACTCCGTCAAAGGAGTGCGCAGGTGCCGCTTCAGTACTTGACATGCAGCTGGTGTCAGTCGTTCCTGAAGACTACGCATTGCTGGCTCTTGGCCGATGTTGGCTTTTACCCGGCAATCTGATGTATATTTCTGTAATCTTGCTTCCATCCAATATCCAACGCGAAGTAGCACACTAAATATAGATCTCAGCACAGGTGTTTTTCGACTCAGTTGATGCATCTTCAAAATTCGGTGACTTGTCTCAACAAAGTTCGTATTATTGAGTTGAAGTAGCGTTGCTGATGGTCGAAAAGCTGTAGACCATTTGTGTTTTCTCGCTAATAAGTGGTCTCTGACATATCGGGCAAACGTTCCGTCCGATATTTCGATCAAGGATAATACATTGTTAAAACTACAAAATAATGTTATGTTGCTTTTGATTTACCTTTCAACCGTTTGAGTAAACATCAGGCGAAAAAATAGTTGTATCACTTCTGATCGTACCCTCTACAATTAAGGTTACTGGGTTAATGTTAATGAACGAAACACTTACCCTCTTTATAACATTGCGAACAAGGTGGACGCGACACAAGATATGGTGAGCATTGGGATACACCTGCATGATGGCAGCAGCTATTGCAGGTGAATCATCTGTCACAATGCCTACCACCTGTCGACTGTTGGTTAACCGTTGGAAGAACGACAGGAATCGAGAAATCAAAGTCGATGTTTCGCGACTTATAAATGCAATACAAACGGGTATCGCCTTCAAATTCATATCAAGGGCTACGACCTGATATAAATAGATATTCTCGTTATTCGTCTTGTATGTTCCGTCCAAACCAATAACATCACCGAAACGGTCTGCAAAAATCTTTTGATCACCAGTGCTGAAGAAAAAGTACGATAGACAGTTCTCATCGTCTAATTCGTATTCGCATCGCCCACCCAAAGATGTTATGTGCGCTTTCAATTTCCCGTAATCACCTATCGTTTACATTATAAATTGGCAAATGGCTTACCAGGAATGTTCGCCTGTGAGAACACTTTGTACCGCATATTATAGATATCTTGATCATTCAGTAGTTTCCCATAAGAATGGTAAGCATAATTCTTAATGTGGAATGAAGCAGTACCAGATATTAGTAGCGGTCGCACATTTTCAAACTCGGCCTCTGTTAACCTGCGCACCCATGAATTTCCTTGGTACCTCAGGGAATTGCACTCGTGATTGTGATGCACATTCCCACGTACAACAACTGTCCTCCATAATGATGATTAAAATGTACTTCGTCGACAAGTACTGATGTTTTATAGCAATCCGACAAAACATAACTAACAAATTAAAAACGAACTTCAAAACTAGCCATTTCATTGGACGAAACGGGATGAAAAATATTGCAATTTTGGGTTGAAAAAACATTTTTAAAAAGGGTGGGTGGGGGGTTTTTAAAAAAAATTGCCGTGGGGCAAATGAATTTCTTCACTGCCATACCCCTTTTTGTTCCGAAAATATTGTAATTTAAACATACTATTTTGCATCTTATTTCCTACCCTAATTCCCAGTTTCGGGCACAATTGTATTTTTCCAAATTATCGCAGGTTGTGGTCAGGATATTCACTTATTCATGTACATTTTTGCACTAACCCGAATTCAGAGAATTCAGAATTCAGTGTTCCAACTGTCTTGTCTTCTCTCACTTGTGTGTTTGCCAACCAATCAGGTTATAGAATAGTTCTCTCTCTACCCCATCTCGAACTCATGCGTACTATACTCCAGGTTAGGCCGCTCAGTCTATCGCATCAAGGTCATAATCTAGTCTAGATAGATCGATGTCAAGTCATAACCAAGTACCGACGGGGTAAAGCGATTAAAGGTAATAAAGACAGGCGACTGGACCATAACAATTAGTTATGAAGTTTTCAGTGTTTTTCTGGACAATAACATCAGCATATACTTTTGAAACAAGTTACATATCATTAGAAGAATTTAAAGATGATATTGCCTAGGAAGGCAGTGAATACTTCATGAATAAAGCATGCAGTTCAATTGTGCACATCACTGTAAATCTTCCTTCTGAGCTTGAGATTTTTTTCGCCATCACTATGAGTAAATTCGTTACGACAAAACATTAACCAACACTTAATCCGTAACAATTTCCGCTTGAATTTAAGCAATGATAACTGCAAAATAAAGTCCTTAACGGATATAATACTTCTGGAGATGCTTTGTTCAACTGAAATTTTTTAGAGATAATCTATATGTTTTAGGAAAAGAAAGTGAAAGTAAAACAAAGAAACAAAGTTGTAAAACACCCTGACTTATATCAATTTGAAATGGATTATTAATAAGAAATAGTTTAATTAGATAATAAAATTTAAGCTATTGACAAAATTTCAATCGTTGCATCAAAAGAAAAATCTCTTGGATTCTTTGGAAGGATAAGGTTACTGTAACGTTCATGTTCAACAGTTCCAAGTTTTCGCAAGAGTATTCTGACCTTAGCGGTGTCAACAAGCTTTTTGAGGTCGACCTTGAACAAATCTTCATATTTCTTGAACCAAGATTTAAAAGTTTTTCTTGGCGTTCCAGTAAGGCTTCAAATTGTTCAAAGGTAAATGACATATTGGTACAATAACCGGTCGCCCGATCGGTCCTTACGGAATCCGGCCTGTTGGTCTCGAAGTTGGGCATCTACGGAATCCTTCATTTTGTTTAACAGTACCCTGTTGAAGACTTCTTTTGGTATTGAGAGAACAGTGATGCCCCTGTGTTATATCTTGAAAGGTTGATTTCTCGATATACCGCGAATAACTGAGCACTAGAACACCAAAACGCTTCCAAGTCGCAGTAAGAAGACAGAAGACTAATGGAAGGAATATTACTCCAACCAGTGTCAATCATGGTACAAAATTGTCAGGTATCTATAATTTTTAGTGAGAACGAACCTTTTATAATGCCAACCACCACAAGACCAACATGGAGATGAAGGCTGATTATCTGTGTGCGATATCTTTCTTGAGCAAGAATCTTCCTTTCCGCTTACAGCATAAACGTATGGCAACTGGCCATTATTTTCGACCATAGAAGTGTCATGCTTTAGGTTTACCAATCTCTGGCACTCTGCGGTTACTTTTTGTAGTTTCATATTCGGACATTGTTCAATTTTACTCAAGATTCTGGTCCTAATATCGGCATCTTCGGGAGATTGGAGGCTGCACACAAATAAGACACTCAAACTGGTCTTCTGACATTGCAGATAGTTTGAAGCGCTGACATTCATGGTTTACTAAACCGCGTGCTTCACCCAGTCATCATCACCTGCTTTTGTCACCTTGAGGCATTGATAACGAATATTAAACAAGGATGACTGTTCAGCAAAGATTTGCGACAAAATTTCAATCGTTGCATCAAAAGAAAAATCTCTTGGATTCTTTGGAAGGATAAGGTTACTGTAACGTTCATGTTCAACAGTTCCAAGTTTTCGCAAGAGTATTCTGACCTTAGCGGTGTCAACAAGCTTTTTGAGGTCGACCTTGAACAAATCTTCATATTTCTTGAACCAAGATTTAAAAGTTTTTCTTGGCGTTCCAGTAAGGCTTCAAATTGTTCAAAGGTAAATGACATATTGGTACAATAACCGGTCGCCCGATCGGTCCTTACGGAATCCGGCCTGTTGGTCTCGAAGTTGGGCATCTACGGAATCCTTCATTTTGTTTAACAGTACCCTGTTGAAGACTTCTTTTGGTATTGAGAGAACAGTGATGCCCCTGTGTTATATCTTGAAAGGTTGATTTCTCGATATACCGCGAATAACTGAGCACTAGAACACCAAAACGCTTCCAAGTCGCAGTAAGAAGACAGAAGACTAATGGAAGGAATATTACTCCAACCAGTGTCAATCATGGTACAAAATTGTCAGGTATCTATAATTTTTAGTGAGAATGAAATCATTATTATAATCTTTCAATCGCTTACATGGTTTTATGAGCATTACCCAATCGGGAATATAAACGTTGTAATTCTAGAATATTCTACCTAAATGTGATTTGATTAGAAGTCTTCGGCTCCTTCTGAGCCTCTTACAGCTTCCTTTTGTTCACCGGTTTTCCGTCATCACACCCTGTAGTTATCACACTTGCGTAGATCGACTTTCTTTGGTATTTTAATCAGAAGTCCTTCCTTTTAGTCTGTTGGTACTTGTTCTTCATCTCAAGTCTTGCTGAAGAGAATGTGAATAATCCTTGAAGTTACTGCTACATCTGCTTTCAGTGCCTCTGCTGGAATGTTGTCTGGTCCTGCTGCTTTGTCGCTCCTGGTTTATCTGATGGCCATGCTGATCTCTTCAACTTTTGGTGGGTCAACATCGATTGAGAGGTCCGTGGGTGCTACTTCGATGTTCGGTGGGTTCAGTGGGGTTGGTCGATTCATTAGTTCTTTGAAGTGTTCTACCACCTGTTTCGCTGTTCTTTGATGTTGTTTATTACTTTTTCCTCCTTGCTTTTCACTGGTCGTTCTGGTTCACGATAATTTCCAGCGAGTTCCTTTGTTGTGTCATACAACTGTCTCATGTTTCCTTCTCTCGCAGCCTTTTCCACCGTCATTGCTAAACCCTCCACATATTTACGTTTGCCAGTTCTGATGCCCCTCTTCACCTGCTTGTTCACGTCTATGTATTCAGCTTGTGCCTTGGAATTCTGTGCTCTTGTTTTGCTGGTATTGGTTGCTGCCTTCTTGTTCCTCCTTTCTTGAGTCTTATCCAGTGTATCAACAGTATTCCATTCCTTTTGGTGGTGCTTCTTGTGGCCCAGAACCTCATGACATGTTGGAGTGATTGCCTCTTTTATTTCTTTCCATTTGCTCTCCATAGTAGTTCCTTTTCCATTGACTAGACCATGAAAGGCTTGAAATCTTGGGCTGAGGACTATTTTGAATTTGTTGCATTTGTCAGTATCCTGAAGAAAAGCCGTATTAAACTTTTGTGCTGTTGTCCGCCCCATTGTCCGGTGCTTCTTGAGTTTCAATTTCATCTTGGTGACCAGCAAGTGATGACCTGATGCTGTATCAGCTCCTCTCTCGGTTCTCACATCCTCCATTGTCCTCCTGAATTTTTTGTTGATGCAGATATGGTCGATTTGGTTTTGCGTATTGTGATCCGGTGAAGTCCTTGTGGTTTTGTGTGTGCGTATGTGTGGGAATATAGTGCCACTTATGACCAGTATATTGAAGGCACATAGGCTTGCGAATCTCTCACCATTTTCGTTCCTTTCTCCCAGTCCATGTCGTCCCATGGTGTCTTCATATCCGTATTTTCCATTTCAACCTTGGCATTAAGGTCTTCCATCAGAATGGTCAAGTCCTTTGTTGGGCACGATTGATTGCAGCTTATCGTAGAATTGGTCTTTAACGTCTTCATTGTAGTCGTTGGTAAGCACATAGCATTGGATGACTTTCATTGGAATACCTTCTTTCTTTGTTTTGAAGGAGGCTTTGATGATCCTTGGTC